TATTTTAATTGATAATAGATAAATAGTTAACTATTTCAACCCAGCAAAGCGAGCTTAATCCTCTGGCCGATGGCAGAGGCCAGACTATAATTCCCTTTGGCTCTGCAGTCCCAGGGCAACTGAGCAGCAAGTTTAGTAGCAGAGTGCTCTTTCTGGCAGGGAGGGGGACGCAAACTCCCTGCTGCTTCTCCTTCTCCTTCTGATGGATGAGGCCAGACTAGAATAGACTAAAAAATCTTTCCCCCCTTTTGTTGCAGGAATTTGGTAGCTCAAGTGAAATAGGAGATTTACAAAAAATGGAAATGGAAATGTTGAGCTGCCAGGTCTGGCGTAAGAAGAAGCAGGATCCTCGCTTTCAAGATCACTGTCACCAGATACACAATCCACAATGAGTAGCTGTTCAGGACAGTTAAGCTTTTTATCAAGTTTTGTGGACAAAATGTCAAAAGAAGATCAAGAAAAAGAGGATGAGACATTAGCCTGAGTTGTATTTGCAAGTGGTACACCTCTTTCCATAACTGAAAATCAATACTGGAAAAAACATTGCAAACTAATTCACTCATCATATAAGTTACCGTCACATTATGGCTTATCAAATTCTCTCTTAAATAGAGAGTATGACAGAGTTCAAACAAGGGTTATTCAAAGGACTGGTCAAGCAGAATCACTGACTCTGATGTCAGATGGATGAACTGATTTACAAGGAAATTTATTGAACATTATGTTAGCGACACCTGAACCAATATTCCTGAAAGCAATTGCTACCAAATCTTCTTGTCATACAGGTGAATACATAGCCAAATTACAGAGTGAAGAGACTGAAAGTGCAGGTCCCTGCAGGGTACAAGCCCTTGTAACTGATAATGCAAGTAACATGAAAGCTGCATGGCAAATATTAAAGGCAAAGAATCCTCATTTAATAGTATTTGGCTGTCTTTTGCTCATGGGTTGAATCTTCTGGCAAAGGACATAGTAAGTATGAATACAATGAAGACAATATTGGCAAACTGCATAGTGATTGTGAAGGTATTCAATAATTATCATGTTGCTAATCAGACTTCGAAGAAATTACAGAAAGAAAGTGCACTTTTATTGCCAGGAGAAACTAGATGGGGCTCAGCTACAAAGTGTTTACAGTTTGCTGCACATAAAGAACTGCTTGCAGTGTGCTTCAATAGATGATCCAGTATCCCAGATTATTCCCATGAACATTCAGAAGCAGATTCTTGACAATGTGTTCTTGGTTCGAGTTCAAGGGACATTCAATCTTCTACTACCAGTTTCAGTGGCTATCAAGAAACTTGAAGGAGATACATGAAGCCTTTCAAATATTCCAGAGATACTCAGACAACTGAATGAAAATCTGATTGAGCTTTTGTCTTCTTCACCTCTATCTAAAAAAGAAGAAAAAGAAGTAAAACAGATGTTTACTAAGAGATCGGAGTTTTGCTTTCATCCACTTCATCTGGCAGCAAACCTTTTGGATCGTCAACACAGAGGACATTTATCAGAAGATGAATTATCTACTGCCCTCGATACAATTATGGAAGTAGCTAAGAATGTCCCCAACCTTGACGAAATAGCCATAATGACATTGCCGATTACCGTGCGGAAGAAAAACTTCGGAGCAAAGACATAATTTGGCAGGCAGCAAAGAATATGTCTTCTCATATGGCAGAAGGGAAACTGTAACACCCGACTGTTGTCTAGGATTGCTCTAAGGATCCTAAGCTTTCCACCAACAGGAGTTCTTGTGAATGGAACTGGAAGACTTTCAGCTCAATCAAGACAAAAAGGAGGAATAGACTAACAAATGAACACACCACTAAGCCTGTTTCTATTTCTCAAAACCTCTTTCTTCTGGAGAATCAGTCAGAAGCCCAATTAATGAAGAAGATGCAGTGTGTTGATAAGTTGCTCTTGCCCATAGACTCATTGGTAAAACTATCACTTAGCAAAAGAGAATGTGGTTCAAGTAGTCCTGAATCAGGTTTGCCTCAATCTGATTCTGAAATGGAACTAATGAGTAGTGCAAGTGATTCTACAGGTAGTGACAGTGAAACTGGAGGTACCGCAATGACCTCAGTGGAAGAGAGTTAAACTCTGTTGAAGTAGATGTGTGGACAACCATGGCATATCATGCACAGTTCTTTGGGTGTGCTAAAATTAGTGTCAACAGTTTTCTGTGCCTTCGGTTTTTTCTGAAATTTAAACAATGTAAGGGAAGTACATGCTATTTTGTATTGTCTTTACATTTTTACAAACATTCCGATAAAAATAATTTCTTTCCGCATAAAGCTTTGAATGTGTTCCAATATAACATATAAATCACATTAAGTGTGCTGTATTTAATTTTTTTCCTGAAGAAATATTTCAGTTCAAATACTTGTGGCTATTGGGACATAAAATTATCATGGGGGTACTTTTTTAGTTTTGTTTACTAAATATAAGTCAAATAAAAATGCTAAATCAAATCATACTCTACTTAGAGTATTGGAAAATTTTCCAGAAAATTTAGCAGGAATCATGGGGGAGGAATCATTTAGTAGGAATCATGGGGCACTTTTACATGTACTCCGGGGTGGGGAGTGGGGCCAGGGGTGGGACAGTGCTTTAATTAGAACAGCTCCAAGAGCTGAATTTTCCCATTCAAAATTTTTTAGAAAACCCACATCTCTGGATACAGACATATCTTTACTTTATCCCTGCTCTCATATGTTTGGGGCATGGGCACATGAACAAGATGGTATACATGAATGCATGGTGGTGATGATGGAAGCATGGCAGTGGCGAGCAGTGAGCTCTTGAAGATGCTGCCCGTGCTGTTGATTGCGGGGTGGGAGTGTGGCGAGGGCTGACCAGGGGTCAGTGACCACTCACAGATGCCACTGGCAGTGTCAACAGCAGCCAGTGGCGATTGCTGACCGCCTGCAGATGCCACCAACAGTGTTGGCAGCAGTGGGGGGGTGGCAAGTGGCGACCGTTCACAGGTGGTGCTGGCAGTGTCGACGCCTTTTCTCAGGGGGTGCACCGCCATGCTCAGGGGGTGCACATGCCCCTGTGTGCACCCCCTATGAGTCACCAGTGCTTGAAGGTACCCCTTTCACATGGTCAATTGTTGCAAACACTTCTGTTTTACACTTGCAGTCTGTGCTGAGCTTCTTGTCATTAACACATCCTTACTGCCCAGATGTTACATGTTACTGTTCTCTGATAACACACCCAGGTGTTCAGCACAAGCTCTTCCCATTCTCCTGTTTGCTTATCCCACCTCTAACATCTCACAATGGGTGACTGGTGCCTTAGTCAGGGGGGCACATACCCCCCCCCAGAGAACAGTCAGTGATTACACCGACCATGGGAGGGGGTCCTTCCCACAGCAAAACTCAACAGCCAGTGAGCGGCTGCACTGCTTCTAAAAGCGGTCATGGCTAGGGTTGTGTGAGCCTTCAGATTTTGCTTCAGATCTGGGCCCGCTTCGGATGCTTTGGTGTCCAAAGCGGCACGTCCGGATTGAAGTGGGATCCCAGTAATGGTGTCCGGAGGAGGTTGGGGGCATCTGAAGCACTTTGGACCCACTTTGGATGCTTCAGAGCTGCTTCGGCCATTCTGAGGCAATTAGAAGAGGGAGGAGGAGTGGGGGAGGAATGGAGAGTGGGAGGGAGGAGCGGTGGGGGGGGAAGACTGACATCTGTAGGTAGCCAGTGAGAAGGATTTCTGCCTGGCTACCTTTTCAATGGCAGCATCTGTGGGATGGGACTTTAAAAAGTATAAAAGCCCCTGTTTCCAGCCATTCTGTGCCTTTTGTAGCTCGTTCCCTGTCAGCAGCTGTGTGAGAGAGGCACGCTGCAACTGAGACCTGCCTGCTGCTTTTTCATATTAAAAAGGAGTGGTTAGGATTTAGCTTAGCTTAGCTTAGCTAAGCTTAGTTTAGCTTAGCTATTCAATTCAATTATTAGTAGTATTACAATTCAATTTATTTCTTTGAATTATTTTTTTGGGAACTTGTTTTTGAAACTTTGCAAAAAGACAGTTGTGTTTTCTCAGCCAGTGTTATCTGTCACTGTGCAGGGAGGCACAGATTGCTTGCACGCACGCACACATGCATGCACATACACAGATACCCAGAATATAGAAAAAAAATCACAGTGGAAGAAGAAAGATATTTACAGAAGAGCAAGACACAGATAATACATTGAGACACAGGAAGATATGCAAATAATTTCATTCACACCACAAGATAGACAATATAGTGAGAGCCAGAAAGAAAACACACAATTTAATTCACAACAGAAAGACAATATAGTGAGAGCCAGAAAGAAGACACACACTTGAATTCACAACAGAAGAGACAATATAGCGAGAGCCAGAAAGAAGACACACAATTTAATTCACAACAGAAAGACAATATAGTGAGACCCACAAAGAAGAAACACAAATAATTTCATTCACAGCACAAGATAGACACAGATATTCACAGGAGAACAAAACAGACAGATATACAAAAGGATTTACACACACACACAGACCTCTTGAAGCACAGGAAAGATAAATATGAAGCATGTTGGAAAGGTAGGTTCCAGGTCTTCTGGCAGGGTAGGGAGAGGAGGTACAGGGAGAGCTAGAGCTGCAACTCCCCCCCATCCCAAACACAGATGCATTTTATTCCTGAGCAGTCATGACATCAGTGCTGCCAGTGGAAGCCAGGCAGTGGGAGCAGTGTCTGTACCTAATGTCTCTGTACCTGCACCACCTCCGCTCAGTCCAGACGTGGGCACCAGCAGTGGAATCACTGCCTCTTCCACCCCAATTTCAGCTCTCAGTGTGAGACTCCCACTGCCAGAGGAGGAGCTGGAGCTGGAACCAGGGATGCTGAGCACTCTGGCTCAGGCAATTCTGGGGACTGAGGGGGAATCAGAATTTGTGCTCCACACCCCTCAAGTTTCCCCTAGACTCAAGTCTGCTCTGGAAAGCAGCACCTTGGAGGAGGCTGAGGTTGTGGAGGCAAGTGACTCACCTGAGGCAGCTCCTCCTGCTGTTCAGCCTCAGCCTGCTGAGAAGGGGGAAAAGGCAGGATCCTCACCCTCAACCCAGAAGCAGGGGAGTAGTGTAGTGTGGGATCATTTTGAGCTGGCAGATGATCCCAGGTTTGCCATCTGCCAGCACTGCCGAAGGTACATGAGCCATGGCAAGGACATGAGACACTCTCCACCATGGCCATGCTGATGCATCTGAGGAGGCACTACCCTCTTGCCCTTCTTCCTGCTGCTCAGACTGGCACCAGTGCGAGTGTGCCAAAAGGGAAGCCCCCCACTTGCTCCAAAGCCTCCTTACCCCCAAAGCAGAGGCAGGCCACCCTGGACCAGTGGGGGAAAGGTGGACAGAAAGGGAGGTACATTCCCAAGGTATGTGAGGTCACCCAGAGCTTTAGGGAGATGCTTGCTCTGGATAGCCAGCCCTTCTCCCTAGTTGAGTGACCAGGGTTCAGGTGATTTGTAACACTTCTGACCCCATTTTACAAAGTGCCCACATGCACCACCTTTAGCAGGGCGGTGGTGCCCTCCCTGTATCAGGCATGCAGGGAGTACTTGAGGGAGGAGCTGTGCAAGACAGGGCTGCTGGTAGCCTTGCACTTCACCTCTGATATCTGGAGCATCTGGAGTGGTGATCATGCCTACCTCTCCCTCATGGGGCACTGGTGCAATCAGTCAGGCCATCGGTGGGCTCTACTGCAAGCTGAGGTGCTGGATGAGTCCCACACAGCAAGGGAGATCATGGGGACCATGAAACACATGGTGCAGGGGTGGCTCATTGGGCAGACTGAGCTCACCCGCAGGTTCATAGTCACTGACAATGGGGTCAATATGGTGAAGGCTGTCCATGATGCCAACTTTGTTGGCATCCACTGTGTGGCACACAGGGTGCACCTAATAGTGAGGGATGCCTTGGAGTGGGGCAGGGCTGCCGATGACAGCACCACCACCAGCACTGCTATAAGCCAGCTGATTTCAAAATGCAGGAAGTTGGCTGGCTACTTCCACTGCAGCATCAAGCGGGGCAAGATGCTGCCTGAGAAACAGGCAGAGCTCAGCATGCCTCAGCACAAAATCATGCAGGATGTGGACAGGCAGTGGAACTCCACATACCTGATGCTTGAGAGGCTGGTGGAGCAACAGAAGGCCATCCATGAGATGGCCTTGCTTGGGGAGATAGGGATCAGCGCCCCCCCCAAACAGAGCTGAGTGCGGTATCATCTCCCAAATGTTGGTGGTCCTCAAGCCCTTCCTCGAGGACACCAAGACCCTTAGCACTGGCAATGCCCTCCTCAGCCAGGTGATCTGTCTAGTGAGGGAACTGGAGAACCAAATGGAGAAGTTCCAGAGGATTAATGTTGCTGGCTGGGGCAGGCCGCTGTCACCAGACGTGCAGGCACTGATGAAGTGGCTGAAGGAGGGCATCAGGAGATGGCTGGATCCCTTGCGGTCCGGTACAGTCCACATGATGCAGGCATGTGAGACCCGAGGGTGATGGGGAGCATGTCCACTGGCAGCCACAAAACCCTTGAACACTGGATGCAGGTGCTGGTGAACAAAGTCAGAGAGGCCAAAGTGCAGAGGCAAGAGGATGTGGAAGAGGGGGATCCACTTTCCTGTGCCAGCACACCCAGCACTGGCACCGCCTCTAGCACCAGCACCAGCCAGTCTCCTCCATACCAGTCACTGCCAATGTGGGCCATGGTTATGGCTTCAATGCTGAGGTCCAAACACACCAGACCCCAGCCTTGGGCAGGTAGTGCTGAGGCTTTGGTGGCTACCTATCTCGCTGAGGACATGGAGCCACTGGACTGTGGCCCCTTGGCCTACTGGGCAAACAGCAGCCAGATGTGGCAGGATCTGGCCATGGTTGCCTGGCAGCACCTGTCCTGTCCACCAACCAGTGTTCCAAGCAAGCGGGTGTTCAGCATTTCTGGGGATGATGTGACACCCCAACGCACCTGCTTGGATCCTACATTGGTGGAGCAGCTGGTGTTCCTAAAGGTGAACCTCCTGCTGCTGGGGGTCCCCAAGTTCCACCTGCAGACGGACTGAGTGCCACCCTCCTTACTCCATCTGCACCAATTTCCTTTTCTGAGGTTTTGAAAAGCCAAGTAATGACCCCCTTTCAGCTGGAGGGGGCACTAACTGCATCACCAGCCAGCAGGGGAAGAACATGTCCCTGCTGACCTCATTCTCCTGCCAGAACGAACTTGGAGGTATGGGATTGGGGCTATAGGGAGGGAGGAAGCCCCAGATCCTGGGCATGACCACTAAAACTGCACCCTGACAGGGTAGGGAGGCCTGGTGGGACTGCTGGCCATGTGGCAACCCCATAAATGCCAGGACCAATGATCCCCTGGTGAAAGGCGGGTAGGAGGAGCCACAACCTCCAGCTAATGCACACATGCACAAAGTCCTGGCTGGGGAACGCCAAGACCCGTCACGTCTTTGACAGGCCTGATGCTTGCTGGTTGCAGTGCAGTTGTGAGGCTCCTGGTGAGCTCAGCTTACCTGCCTGGGATGCCAGCTTTAGGGTTGAAAACCCCTTTGTCAGGCTGAGGAAGTACCTGTAGTTGGTCCTGGATGGAAAGAATAGTAAAGAAGCCAGAGGCTGGCCTGGCCCACAATGCAGGCAAGAAAGCCAGTCAGTGAAAATGGAAATGGAGGCATCAGGCAGAGAGGGGCAGGCTGGAGTGGGGGTAGGGGAGAAAGGGGCATGTAGCGACACAGGTAAAAGCACGGAGGTGCCTGCAGTGTCAGATGTCTGGCAGGTCGCAGTGTGCCAGAACTCCACTGTCTATACTGAGTCCATGAGTTTCTGTACCTACTACCTAGGAG